CAAAAGACACATCTGATAAAGAACTATTATCTAGGGGCAACTCGCTGGCTCAGTCAGAAGACCATGCAACTCTTGATTTTGGGGTTGTGAGTTTGAGCCCCACATTGGGTGTAGCGATTACTTAAATAAATAAACTTAAAAAAAAAGGGCTGTTATCTAAAATATACAGAGAACTCTTTTTAAAAAAAAGATTTTATTTATTTATTTGAGAGAGAGAGGGAGAGAGAGCACAGAGGGAGAGGGAGGAGCAGACTCCCCACTGAGCAGAGAGCCCAATGCGGGGCTCGATCCCTGGAGCCTGAGATCATGACTTGAGCTGAAAGCAGCCACTTAAGCAAGTGAGCCACCAGGCGCCCCTAAAATATACAGAGAACACTTAAAACTCAACAAGTAGAAAACAAATAACCTGATTTAAAAATGAGCCAAAGACCTTAACAGACATCTCTCCAAATAGACAGATGGCAAGTAAGCATATGGGAAGATGATTCACATCATATGTCATCAGGGAAATGGATATTAAAACAATAAAGAGATACCACTACATACCTATTAGAATGGCCAAAATCTAAAACTGTCAACATCAAATTGTAATGAGCGTGTGGAGCAGTAGGAACTCTCATTAATTGCTTGTGGGAATACAAATGGTAAAGTCACTTTGGAACAGAGTTCGGCAGTTTTTTACAAAACTAAACGTATTATTAGCATATGATCTAGCAATTGCACTCCCTGGTGTTTACCCAAATGAATTGAAAACTTATTTCCATCTGCCCACAGATGTTTATAGCAGTTAGGAAAAGTTGAAATTTGAAATTTGTTTATTTATTATATATATATTTTTATTAACATATAATGTATTATTTGTTTCAGGGGTACAGATCTGTGATTCATCAGTCTTACACAATTCACAGCACTCACCATAGCACATACCCTCCCCAATGTCCATCACCCAGGCACCCCATCTCTCCCACCCCCCTCCACTCCAGCAACCCTCAGTTTGTTTCCTGAGATTTAAGAGTCTCTTATGGTTTGTCTCCCTCTCTGGTTTCATCTTCTTTCATTTTTCCCTCCCTTCCCCTATGATCCTCTGTTTTGTTTCTCCAATTCCTCATATCAATGAGACCATATGAGACGTGTCTTTCTCTGATTGACTTATTTCGCTTAGCATAATACCCTCCAGTTCCATCCACGTCATTGCAAATGGCAAGATTTCATTTTTTTGATGGCTGCATAATATTCCATTGTGTGTGTGTGTGTGTGTGTGTGTGTGTGTGTGTGTGTGTGTGTGTGTATGTACCACATCTTCTTTATCCATTTGTCTGTTGATGGACATCTAGGCTCTTTCCATAGTTTGGCTATTGTGGACATTGCTGCTATAAACATTGGGGTGCACGTACCCCTTCGGATCACTACATTTGTACCTTTGGGGTAAATACCCAGTAGTGCAATTGCTGAGTCATAGGGTAGCTCTATTTTCAACTTTTTGAGGAATCTCCATACTGTTTTCCAGAGTGGCTACACCAGCTTGCATTCCCACCAACAGTGTAGGAGGGTTCCCTTTTCTCTACATCCTTGCCAACATCTGTCGTTGCCTGACTTGTTAATTTTTTAGCCATTCTATTATATATTTTTTGAAAATTGAAACTTAAAAGATGTTTAAAATAGTACCTCCTAAAATAAAAAAAAGCTTATAATCTATGATACCTGTGCAGAATCTATATCCAGAGAACTACAAAACATTGATGAAATAAAGCAAAGAAGATCTGAATAAATGGAGAGATATGCTGTGTTTATGGATTGGAAGACTCAATATTGTTAAGATGCCAATCCTCCCCACTTTGATCTACACATTGAGCACAATCCCAAGAAAAATCTTGGCCAACATATTTTTAGATATTGACAAGTAGATTCAACATTTATATGGAAAAGCTTATGAAACTAGAAGAGTCAAGTTTTTAAAAAATGTCAACAAAAAAGAAAAAAGTTGGAAGATTTACACTACCCAATTTTAAGGCTTATTGTAAAGCTATAGTAACCAAGACAGTGTGGTAGTGTTAAAAGGATAGATGTATATATCAATTTATCATTTGATCAGAATAGAGGCCAAAAATAGACCTACAAAAATGTAGTCAACTTATATGTGACAAAGTTACAAAGGCAATTCAGTAGAGAAAAGATAGTGTTTTCCATAAATGGTGCTAGAATAATCATTCATCCATGTGCAGAAAAGAAACCTAGACACACAACCCATACCTCATACAAAAATTAACTTAACAGACTTAAATATAAAAGTAAAACTATAAGACTTATAGGGGAAAAAAAAAACAAACCACTGGAAATCTTGGATTTGGTGATCCATTTTTAGATATGCCACCAAAAGCACAACTCATAATACAAAAAGTTATGAAACTGAATTTTATCAAAATTAAATACTTTTGCTCTGCAAGATAATCTGTTAAGAGAATGAATTAACAAGCTGTAAATGGGAACAAAATATTTGTAGATCACATACCCAGTAAAGAACTTGTATTCAGGGGTGCTTGGATGGCTCAGTCAGTTGAGCATCTGACTCTTGGTTTTGGCTTGTGTCATAATCTCAGGGTGGTGAGGTTGAGCCCCAGGTTGGGGTCCACGCTCAGCAGCCTGCTTGAGATTCTCTCCCTCTCCCTTGTGCACATGCAGGTGCACGCTCTCTCTCTCTCTAAAATAAAGAAAACAAAGCTCAAATATATATATATAAAGAACTTGTATTTAGAGTATATAAAGAACTCTTTTTTGGGCTATAATTTTTTTTTTAAAGTAGGCTCTATGCCCAACATGGGGCTTGAACTCACAACCCTAAGATCAAGAGTTGCATGTTCTACCACAGAGCCAGCCAGGCACCCCTGCTGTAATTTTTTAAAATTTGAATTCCAGTATAGTTAACATACAGTGTTATATTAGTTTCAGATGTACAATGTAGTGATTCAACAATTCTCTACATTACTTAGTGCTCATCATGATAAGTGTACTCTCTTAATCCCCTTCACTTGTTTCTCCCCACCCATCTACCCCTCTGGCAATCAGTTTGTTCTCTATATTTAAGAGTCTGTTTTTTGGTTTATCTTTTTTTTTCATTTGTTTTGTTTTCTAAATTCCATATATGAGTAAAATCATATGGTATTTGTCTTTATCTGATTGACTTATTTCACTTAGCTTTATATCCTCTGGATACATCCATGTTGTTGCAAATGACAAGATTTCATTCTTTTTTATGGCTGAATAATATTCCATTATATGTATAAACCACATCTTCTTTATCCATTTATCTATCAATGGACTCTTGGGCTGCTTCCATATTGCTGCAATAAACATAGAGGTGTGTATATCTTTTCAAATTAGGGTATTTTTTGTATTCTTTGTATTCTTTGGGTAAATACTCAGTAGTGGAATTACTGGATCAAAGGGTAATTCTATTTAGAATATATAAAGAACTCTTATACCTCAACAATAATAAAACAAATAACCCAATTTAAAAATAGGCGAAATATTTGAAAAGAAACTACCCCAAGAAGATATATGGATGGCAAATAAATATATGGAAAGATGTCCAATATCTTTAGTGACTGAGGATACATAAATGAAAACAATGAGTCAATACTACAAACCTATTAGAATGGCTAAGATAAAGAGCTGAATACAAAATGTTGGCCATGATGAGCAGCAGCAAGAACTCTCATTCATTGCTGCTGGAAATGCAAAATGGTACAGCCACTTTAGAAAAAAAATTAGCCATTTCTTATAAAGTTAAATATACATTTAGCACATGACCCCGCAGCAATCCCACTCCTAGGTATTTGTCCGATTAAAACTTATGTTTACATAAAAATGTGTAGGTGAGTATTTATTCACAATTGCCCCCAAACAAGCCATCAAGGTATAAATTAATAAATAAACTGTAGTAATCCATACAATGGAACATCACTCAGTAATAAAAAGGAACAAACTATTGATTCATGCAACAACATTCGTGAATTTGAATGCATTTTAGTAAGAAGAACATGATTGTTGGGGCTGGATGATAAATCCACGGAGATTCATTTTTATATTCTCTACTTTTGTATGTAATTGAAAATTTCCATCATAAAAGTTTTTAAACAGTATTTTGATGTAGTATTTTAATGACATCATAATGTCCAGATATGACACAAATGTGATTAAAATTCCATATTCTGATGCTAGAAGCCACATCTAAAATGTTGCACAGCAAAATGCTAGATAAATGGAGATCAAATCTGGTAATATAAATTATTTCATTTAATGTCTTAAGATATATAATCAGAAAGCTTTTTGAATGGTTTCCAGTACACAATTCTGAGAGGAAATAAGACTTTGGCTCATTGGTTTTAAGAATTTAACTTGCCTGCGTACTGGAAACAGTGTAGAAAGCTACACAGAACAGTCTGGACTCTGGCAGTGAGAGACAGGCCAACCCAGTATCAGGATAGAGGCCGGGGATACAAGTGAGTACTTTTCCTTCTGTGTGTCTGTCAGTGTAGGGTATGTTATAGAAGAAAGAAGTTTGCTACAAGCTGTCTCTACTTGTATTTTCTTTAACTTGAGACTGAAGTTCAAGAACAGCCAGTAATCAGTCATTCCTATGGATCTCTTGATATCATTTCTGAAGATGAGGCTCGTGGAATTCTATCTACTCCCCAGTATAGGACCGCCTGAAAGTTTTTCCCCACTATTGTAAGCTGTAATCAGACCACATTGAAGTTTCAACACTTCTATCCACCTTCTACCAAAAAAATCACCACTCTTAAAAAGTTATGAGTAATTTCTGAGGTGATGGTAATGTTCTATTATCTTGATAGGGATTTGGGATACACAGGTGTAGGCATTTGTTAAAACTTGGGGATTTACATGTAAGATTTTGCATTTAATTGTATATAAATTTCACTTCAAAAATTTAAAAAACCATCAACAAATCTTTAATTCTATTAATGATATGCATGTTGAATTATTTAAGGGGACATAGAGCAATGTCTGCAATTTACTTTGGAATGCATGAAAAATAAGATGATTAGATGATTGGATAGAGAAATGAATAGACGTGCAAAAGGTAAAATGTTAATGGTAGAAGCTGGAGGGTAGATGTACAGTATTCACTATAAAATTCTCTCAGTTTTGCTCTATGTTTTCTAAATTTGCATAATAAAATGTCTGAAAAACTATCAAGAAACTTAATGCCACCCTAATTCATTCAGTAGGAAATGCAAAAGAGGCCACCGCTATGATTAGATCTGTATTCTGATTACCAGGTTCTATAGTGTTTTAGACTTAATTTAATTTCCTGGATTCTGATCTCTTGTGGTTTTTACTACTTAAAACTAGTTACCTTATTATCCCTCTACTTTGACTTTCTGGTTTACCTGTTAAATTGCTCATTCATTTTCAAATACTTATCTTTGCCTACTACGCACCAGGCCCTATGTAGGTATTGGCAAATATTGTCTCTGTCCCCACGGGGCTTCCATCCATGGTTTATCCCAATAACCAGTACCTCTACTCCCTTAATTCTGTCAGGAATGCTGGTTCCTGCATCTCTGGCTAAGGCTACACTGTCAGGACCATTTTATCATGGAATACCATAGACTCCACACCAAGGGCCTATGAGGTTTGGCCGGGGGCGGGGGGGGTCTATGAAAAATGTTTTATATTTGAAAAAAAAAAATCTCCACTTTACAAAAAACAAACCACAAAATCCTCTACATTCCCTAGGCTGTAGAAACAACTTCTAGTCATCTTGATTCTCCCTTTCTCATAGCTTTTGATCCAATAGGACTGCCAACTGGCATTTCTGTTCCCAGTGGCAAATCTGGTCCTAATGTGGATGCTGTAGGGGAGTAAGGAACTCCAACAGTCAGAAGGATGCCTAAGCTGTTACAGCCTTAACCACTGTGACTTTGCTCTTTGGACTCCCTTGGGCTGATAACTTGTTCACCAGGCTATCTTCTGATTTCCACATAGGTCTGCAGAGAGAATGCAGTATTTAGTCTTTCTGGTCCCTGTAACAGTGGTTACTCAAGCAAACAAGTAAAGTAGCTTATAATGAAGAGTTGTTACATCACATGTCTAGAATTCAGGGAGAAAAAAAACACCAATCATGCCAACATCTTCCTCCTCCTCCTCATCATCATCTCTTGTGGCCATTAATTTCTCAGTGTAAATTAAGTTGGTAATTTAATAACTGAGAAAGGGGAATGAGGAATATTTTGGCCCACTTTATCAGCCATAGCCTTAGCTTTCAATGGTTCTAGTTGACTCACGGCTCCTAAAGCGTTTTTCTCAGCTTCTGGGTTCTAAATACCACTCCTCTCCCCTTGTTGACTTTACTTGTCCTCTGATCTCATGCAAGGCCCATTTTACCAACTGAGACTTTAGCTTTTGTTTCTCCACTTTTAGCTGTGTTATTTCAGCATCCCTTGGGCAAGACCCAACCAACCCAGGGCCCTTGGGCCACAGCGATGCTCCTATGGCTTGTGCCCACTGCGTACTCAGAGCTGGGGCTTAGACAACGTTTTTGCATATAAAACTCCATAATTATAAAGATTTCCACCCAGTACATATCGACAGATACAGAATAGTAGTTTTAAAGGCTTTGTTTGAACAAGAGCAAACAACAGAACAATGCCTCATAAACTAGTATTTAATGAAGACTGAGAGCATTGTGGATATTTTATTTTTATTGGTTGGTAATTATGCCTGCATGATTCATAAAATTACTGTAACATTCCTGATTTTATTGTTCCCCCAGGAAATCCTTCTCTATTTTAAATAAAGTGCGTTTTATTTATCGAATGCATGGGATATCTCTACCCTGTTATAGAATTCAACACTGTAAATAAACATAAAGAGCTATGTGGTTTGACTATTTTAACAGAAGATTAGCTCCCTACAGAGAACAGGGAATTTGTATCCCTTTCCCTCTGGAACCCAAAGGAGACTTATGAAAGCAGTTTGCAAGGACTATGTTGAGATGATTGAATCTTGAGTCATCTTCACATCTCTAGTCTGTTGTGTTCATTTGGGTAACTATGAACACATGGAGATCCATTCCTCGGATAGGAAACCCCCAGAACTCACTGCATAGGATCTACCCCAGCTTGGCATTATCTTTTCTGCATTTTTCTTCTGTTACTGTTTGAAAAAACTATAAAGAAGAAAATGAACACGTGTGTGTGTGTGTGTGTGTGTGTGTGTGTGTGTGTGTGTGTGTAACTTGTTTCAGTTACCATCAGTTTTGGTATTCAGTGCTATTCAAATATGTTCATCTAACATTATGGCTGATGTAACTGGCACATTTTTTTAGATAAGTATATCCATAGCCTCGCAGCATATGGTTCAATACAATTTAGCACCTCTGATGTGAAAGGCACTGAGCAATCTTAAATCTTTTATGGAACAAAGTAGGGTATAAACCAACCAACTAACAAACTACAAAGATACAAGAGGGGAGATGCAAAGAGCACTGTACTAGTCCTAACCTTACTAGAACCTAGGGGTATTCTGGTTAAAGGCCAAACCAATACTTTAATACTTCATAAAGAATTATGATATAAAGGATTATTAATAAAATAATGATTAGGGACACCTGGGTGGCTCAGTTGGTTAAGCATCTGCCTTTGGCTCAGGCCATGATCTAGGGGTCCTGGGATTGAGTCCTGCATCGGGCTCCCTGCTCAGCAGGAAGCTGCTTCTCCCTCTCCCACTCCCTCTCTCACTCTGTCTCTCTCTGTCAAATAAATAAAATCTTTAAAAAATAAATAAAAAAGAAAAAAAAGAAGAAAAATAATGATTAGAGCTCTTTTTATAATTGTATGAAGGAGAATCTGTGTTTACTCATAAATATTTATTATTCATTAAGTATTACATAAATAGTATTTATTATTATTTATATAATAGGTAAAGTACTATATGTTAACCATTCTTCAGGATTAAATATTTTATGTTAAAACTGTATGAAAAGATACTGCCTAAACCTCTCTACAAGATACATGAAATTCTAACATAACTGTGGAAATTCAACATGTTTTAACATGTCACCAGGCACAGGACATTGGTCTACCATCCCCTCCTCTCCATCCTGGTCCTCACTCCCACCTCCTACCTCCCCCTGAATTAGGACAAATAAGAATATAAATATGATATAACCTGGCAAACCTTCTGATGAGCTTTCACTACTACGTACCAGCGACCTTGGTCATTACAGTGACATTTGTATGTTTCACACACTTTCATTCAGTTTATTTCACAAAGCTTAATGTGCTTTGTTCAGAATTGGTACAGGTACATTCTCAACACTTCTGACACACATAAAAATATTGGTTTTGTTTTTGCTGATTGAATAAAATTGGGAGGTGGTGGTTTCTTGTTGTTGTTTGGTAATAGGGCTCACATTTGCAGAGAATTAGGTGAGGATTTTCAGGGGCAAGAAGCCTGTCAAAGCATTTTCTGTTAAACCATTGGCTGACAGCATTTGGTCAAACCACAAGTATCCCGGGCTGGGCTTCATCAGGTCAGAGCGTGGCCATTTGCCTTAGGTGCTCAGGGCCTCCCACCTGTACCTGCCCCTGCACCCCGCCCACTTCCATCAGTGGTGTCTGTTTGTGAGGGTGGGGGTGGGGGGAAGGGGCTCTCACTTTTCACCCTATGCACTTCTGTGCTGCCTGCATTTCTCCCACATGTGCCTTTTTGTGAGAACCTGTAAGTTCCACTCGCTTTTGCTTGCTCTTTCCAAAGACATGTGTTTCTTACTGTAAGATGTTCATCATGGTGCAGCCCTTGCCCTGTGGCTTCTCATACTTCGTATGCCTTTCTGCTTCCCCAGCCTTCTCTTTTCTAACCTTTTGCTTTTCCTCCACTCTCATGGGGTTCCAGCTCTGCCTGTCCTTTCTTCTTTTGCATGGGTTTTGGTGAACTATACCTCTGTAGGATCTGTTTTAGAGATTCATCGAAGGCCCTCATTTGTAATTACACCCACGATTTGTCGCTGTGATGACTGCTTCTTTAGGCCTTGGTTTCAAGAAGTTTGTCCACAGTGACTTCTGTATGGAGTGGCATATTTCTCGACTTCCTTTATTTTCTCCCCTCACATATTTTGAGAAGGATATAAGGAAAACCTGTGTTCTTCCTCTTCAACTTCTTTTGCCCCCTGGCTTATACAGAATATTTGTTAACAGCAGAATTTTCTTTTAAAGCAAAAGGAAGGGGTGCCTGGGTGGCTCAGTCGTTAAGCGACTGCCTTCGGCCCAGGTCACGATCCCAGGGTCCTGGGATCGAGCCCTGCATCGGGGTCCGTGCTCCATGGGAAGCCTGCTTCTCCCTCTCCCACTCCCCCTGCTTGTGTTCCCTCTCTCGCTCTCTCTCTCTGTCAAATAAATAAATAAAATCTTAAAAAAAAAAAAAAGCAAAAGGAAATTATTGCTAGAGGAGACAAAGTTAACTAAAAGGCACACTGAGTTGCTGGGTATGTCCAGAGTCTGATTTAGATTTGAGAAGAGGAGCAGAAGTAATTTTTGTATTTTGGAAAGTGAGGAGGCCTCCTGGCCTAGTTTCAAGGACATGCATGACCAGAGAAAGCCTATTAAAAAAATTAAAAAAATAAAATCCAACAAAATCAAGTTGGGAAGATAAGCCAGGCTCTTGTTACTAAAAGTGTCAGAGATCTTGGTTGTATATTTTAAATGCACTAATTACTTATTAGTTTAATATCAAAATGCATAGATATCCTCCTGGCCCTTGTTCTGTTCTTAGCCTCCATTCCCTCTCTGTGGAGTCCTGATCCTTCTCCGCAGCCCCTCCCACACCTACCTTGGATCAGAGCTGTCAGGACTACTCCCAGGTTGTCTCCTGTGTCTAAGGGAGCACCGGGTAGCCAGATTGCTCCTATGCAGGTCATCAGTTTGTGTGCACAGAGAAAATGCTAGAGTGAGTCATAGTCCTCCTTTCCTAACCAAAGGGCATTGTATTGTGCTGTTTGAGTTGGGCTCTTGTACGCCACTTGAGGTTGCAAACTTATGGTACATGAGGCACAGTTCAGTGACACCCCTTTCAAGTGACATTTTAATGATCTGATTTGGGTGTGTCCCAGTAGACTGTGAGATCCTTTGAGGCTGCGACACTTTTCTTTATCTTTGATCCCCAGCCCTAAGCACACTTGTGCCTCGCTCAGGATATGTACTAAATAAATGTTGCTTGGTTGGAATGCTACAGCAGGAGGGGAAGGGCAAAAGCTGGGCTGTGTACCCAGGCGGAGAAGAGGATGCTGTATGAGGCTGCATCACCTTCACAGGGCCAGCAGAGAGCGCCCTTGCATCAGTAGAGAGAGCGCGGTTCCTTACCCACCCCCACTTGTTTACTGGAGCGTTACCTTTTGGGTGAACCCAGGGCCTGAGACTACAGACATTTAAACTTAAACCTCGCACACATGCATTAGGACATCACCAACTGTACAGATGAAGTCTGTGTTACATTCAGTCCAAAGGCACAAGAACAATCCAGAATTAGCTTGAGGAATACTAAGCCATGACATCTCTGGTAGAATCAAACCTAAAGAAGAAAAATTACCTAGTGTTCCAGGAAATCTTAGTAATTTTAAAGTTGGAATGCTCTTTACACTCACTTGACAAACTAGTTCCTTTAATCCAGCTACCACATTTCTCAGGCGAGGAAGCTGAGGTTTGTCCTCTAGGCTCCTGAAGAGGATAGAGCTAGAGAAAAATTATACTTCTCTCAACACTGGGTTTTAGGCGTGTTTTGAAAACATGTGGAAAGATGGCCATTTGGAAAAACTGCATCTAGAATCCTTCTATCTCTCTTTCACACTCTCTCATATACATTTATGTATGTACATAATGTACATATAAATATGTAAAAATATGGAATATGTAATGTATATTTATATATAAATAACATCAAAATTAAATTTGAAATATAAGTATATATAAACACACACACACATACCCAGGCCCTATAAAGAGGCAGTATAGCCTAGTGATTCAGCATATGGCTGTGATCCACCCAGACTGCCTGGGTTTGAATTCTGGTTCTGTCATTTATTAGCTGTGTGACCTTGAGCAGGTTACTTAACCTCTTTGTGACTTAATTTCCTCATCTATAAAGGTAGCTAATAACAGTACATATTTTATTAGATTACTTTAAGGATTCAATGAGTTAATCTTTGTAAACCTTCTAGGACAGTGCTTGGGACATAAAAAGTAGTGTAATAATTTTCTGCTAAATAAAATACATAAAAATTTGGAAAGACACTATTTTAAAAGTACATAAGGGCAACATTCCAAGGGTACTTTTTTAAAAGATTAGAAATTGGCTTTGAAAAATCTTTGCAGGGGGGAGGAATCAATTGTGTGATAAATTATAAAGGTGTGAGAAAGAATGTGTGGTTAATTAACCTGACCAAAAGGCTTTACATTACAATTCCAGGAGAGGCTCTGGTTTCCAAGGTCCATAAAAGTTTTCTGATAGCTTTTTTTTTCCTCCTTTTGGAAAGCTTCAAAAACAACCCAAACTGAAATCCTCAAACCTTCAAAGAATCAAGTGCTTAGAGCATTTTAAATGCACCTACCCCTCTTGCTGCATTGTTTCTGACGAACCATGACTCTCTCTCCAAGGCTGGTCAGTTCTCATCTCCCTCCTTCCCCAGGTGTCCATTTGAAGGCAGCCTTACTTGTGTTCTGTTTTTCTGTTGGGGCTGTAGGGAGTAACTGGCAGGAAAAAGAAACAGGATAGTATGTCTGTGCAGCGTGGGAAGTCTGGGAGGTCTCAACTTCAGGGCAAGTCATGGCAAAGGGAATCCCTTGCTCTTCATGAGACGGACGGCTCACATCCCTGGCAAAAACCAGGGTCGAGGGCAGTCCGGCCCAACTCTAAGGGACTGTCACTGGACAGGTTAAGGCAACTCTAAAAAAGTGCAGAAGGGGGAGCACTTGGGTTGGTATCACAGGTCCTCCTTGGGGAGAAGCACAGCAAGAAAGCCACCCTCCAGGAAATGTCCCAGGAGTGGAGCCTGGAGCCTCCTCAGAGCCCAGGAGTGGGGCGGGGGTGTTCGTAGAAGGAAAAGGGGTCCATAAAAGAGACGCTGGCTGTAAGGGGGCAGGGCAGAGTGGGTGTCAGAAGTCCTGAGCTCAGGATTCTTTGAAAAGAGAGGACAGGCCATCTGGCATGTGACTCTTGATCTTGGGGTGTGAGTTCAAGCCCCATGTTGGGTGTAGAGATCACTTAAAAAAGAAAAGGAAGGAAGGAAAGAAGGAAGAGAGAGAGAAAGAAAGAAAAGAAAGAAAAAGAGAGAAAGAAAGAATAGGAAGATGGAAGGAAGGAAGGTAGGAAGGAAGGTAGGAAGGAAGGAAGGAAGGAAGAAAGAAAAGAAAGGAAGGACAATGAAGTGGGCTGGGGCTTAAGGGCCCTTCAACAGAACACTTACACGAATTCTCCCAGCCAGCAAGAAGGGAGGGGCCTGAGAGCTTCTCTGGCTTCTCAAACTTGCAGATGAGTGGGAATCACCTGGGGATCTTCTGATTCTGATTCAAAGGTATGGAATACCACCTCTGATTCTGCATTTCTAAGAAGATCCTTGGTGAGCCTGCTGATCCCAAGACCCTACTTTCAGAAGCAAGGGTCTCTTCTATTTGAGTCTAGAGGTCAGGGAGCAGAGACCCAATCACTGGGCAGACTCTTTCAGCTCCAGTTCAAATTCCAAGGTTGTCTCCAGGTTCCCAGGTAGTAAAAGCATTTAAGGAGGAGTTCATTTATGGGGCAAGGAGGGAAAGGGGTCTCAGATTTAGGGACTCCTCACCAACCTCCCAGGGTACCTGGGGGCTAGGAAGAAGAATGGCTGGTCTTTCCATGAGTGGGGGAATAATAATCAGGGAGATGACCAGTAATCAGGGAGATCTGGTGAGGCAGAAGATGCTAGCACCTGAAGGTCCCAAAGCAGCCCCTAAATTCCCCACAGGCAGCTTTTCACATGCTACCTAGAGGCTGCCATTTGAGAGGTTTTGAAACAAGATACTGGGTTACCCCACAGAAGCACTTGCCAAACCAGGTGACCCATTGAGAGAACCTGCTAATTGTAATAGAGGCAGAATGTTATCTGTACTAAGTCTAAAACAGTTTTCCAGGGGGAAATGAGGACGGGCCAAGGCAGCCAAAAAGGGCTGGGTGTTGCCTTTGCAGAAAGCTGAGTTACACGGACAAACAGCGTTGCCAGGTGTCCTGTATTGAACCAAACTGTGTGGTATTTTAGCTTCTGGTGTATTAAAATGCAGCAAATACCTGTTTTAAAAAATCATTATTATTTCAGATGTACTTTTCTTACATTTGGAGTGATTTTGAATCAGCAGAGGTTTGTAATTTTAGCTTTTAGTTACTCCTTCTGCTAAGTATTGAATGGACAAACACCACTTAAAGGAGCTGTAGGATTCTTTTGAAATGTGAGCAATCCTTTTGTGTATCTGTGTGCAAGGAAACTGTTCCAACACTAATGTTAAGTATTCTGTTAAGTAAAGTCAAAGTGTATCCCTTGGGAGGGGAGGGTGCACTCTGCAAATAAAGTGTTTTGTTTCCTCGGTCTCTGTGGGGTGGATATTTTTATAATCCTATTTACCCAGGAAGCAGGGAAACACAGTCATCTTGGGGGTAGTCATAAGCGCCAGCGTTTTTCGAGGATTTACCATGTGCCCGACACTGTGTGAGACTCGATGTCCTCTACCCCTTTCTGCAACAATCCCATGAGGGAGATGCTCTCCTTGTCCCCATTTCACAGTTAGAGGAAACAGTCTCCCTGAGTCCCAAAACCAAATTCCTCTTTTTCTCTCAGATTCCCTCATCCAACTTATAACAAGTTCTGTCTGTCTGTGATAACTCCAAAATAGATCCAAAACTCTGACCTTTTTTCAACCTAGCTCAGGCCCTCGTTAGCCATCTTGCTTGAACACTGCATTAGCCTTCAACTGCCCTCATGATGCTACTCTTAACCCTAGGACTTTCCTCCCTACACACAGCGGCCAGAGTGGTCTGTTTATTTTTATTTTTTAAGTGTTTTTATTTGAGCCTCATTGACACAGCGTTACATCAGTTTTAGGTTTACAGCATAGCTGATTGCACTTCTCTATACTTTATGCTGTGCTCACCACGAGTGAAGCAACCATCTGTCCCTGTGTGATGCTATTACAATATCACTGACTCTCTTCCCTGTGCCCTTTCATCCCTGTGACTAATTCATTCCATAACTGCAAGTCTGCATCTTCCCAGAGCGGTCTTTTTAAAATTGTAAGTCATACCATGTACTCTTGAGTGACTTCCCTTCACGTTTATTTTTAAGATTTTATTTATTTATTTGACACAGACACAGCGAGAGAGGGAACACAAGCAGGGGGAGAGGGAGAGGGAGAAGCAGGTTTCCCGCTGAGCAGGGAGCCCGATGCAAGACTCGATCCCAGGACCCTGGGATCATGACCTGAGCCGAAGGCAGATGCTTAACCGACTGAGCCACCCAGGTGCCCCTTCCCTTAACATTTAAAATAAAACTCACAGTCCTTTCCAGGACTTACAAGGCCCTACATGATCTGCTCCCAGTTCCTGCGTGCAAATTCTTCATTCATTCAACAAGTATTTGTTGAGGGCCTACTATGTGCCAGGCACTATTCTAGATGTTGGGCATCTTGTTCCTGTATAGAGCTTATATTCTAGTGGGAGGAAACAATAGCTAAAGAAATATGTAGACCATCAGGTGGTAATACGTTCTATGAAGATAAATGAAGTAGAAAAGGAGAACGGGCGGGTGCCTGGGTGGCTCAGTTGGTAGAGCATGTCGTCTTTTGATCTTGGGGTTGTGAGTGCAAGCTCTACCATGTAGAGATTATTAAAAAAAATAGTAAACTTAAAAAAGGAAACAAAAGAATAGGGAGTGCTGAGTGGCAGTGAGGGTCTACCAGGATGGCCAAGTGGGCAGCCAGGAAATTCTTCCTGAGAAAGTGACACTAGAGCAGAGACCTGAAGATGAGGAAGGAGTGAGCCAAGTGGATTCTGGAGAAAGAGCATTCAAGATGGAGGGAACAGCAAGTGCAAAGGCCCTAAGGAAGAGTGTGCTTGGCATATTTGAGGAACAGCAATGAGGCAGATGTAGCTAGAGCAGAGAGAGTAAGGCAGGGGAGTAAGCAGAGGTCAGAGAGGTCCCTGGGGTGGGCTGGGGGTGAGATCAGGCCATGTAAGTACTTGTGGGTCCCCACTCTGCCCCCACTCTGGGGGCCTGGATTTTGAGTGGGTGGGCAGCAGGGGAAGAATATGAGCAGGGCAGCGATGTGACTGTGGAGAAGGGCAGGGAGACTTGCTTGGAATCAGAAACAGGAGCAATAATGGAGGCAAAGATCAGAAGGGAGGCAATGCAGGAAGAGGGCTCCAGTGATGCCCATGGGTCTGGGAAGTGAGGATAGAAGACCAAGCATTGGATGTGCTGAGGCAAAAGATTTCGCAAATGAGGCGTTTTCCATGGGATGGTGGCCACGGCCTGCTGGAGAGGGTTCAGAGGGAATGGGGAGAAAGGAGGTAAAGATGGTGAGCAAAAGTGGTTGTGCTGTAGAGACCATCAGAAGCCTGAGGTGGTGGGTCAGCAAGAGACGATTTTGTGAGGGGCACCTGGGTGGCTCAGGTCATGATCCAGGGTCCCGGGATCGAGCCCCACATCGGGCTCCCTGCTCAGCAAGAAGTCTGCTTCTCCCTCTCCCTCTGTGCTCTCTCTCAAATAAATAAATAAAATCTTAAAAAAAAAAGAGAGCGATGACTTCGTGACAGTGGAGGGAAGTAATACAGTTCCTTATGCTGGTGGGATCATGAAGGAGAAAGAAGGACACTCTCTAGAGAAGTCTGGAGGGATGGAGTGTGCATACCTGCCAGAAGGCGTGCAGCCCTGGCACTCACAGGACGGAGGGCGAGGATGGGATGCAAGGGCAGCTGGGAGCCCATGGGCGTCCTCAATTGCTTGCTTCTGTTTTCTTAGTGAGATAGGAAGTCTCCGTGAAGATGAGGATTGCAGGAGAAGTGTTACAGGTTTGAGGAAAGAAAGAGGACATGCAGCTGAGGAGTTGAGTGTTTACGCAAAGGGGTAGTTACTATACTGGACTTTGGATCTAAGCTGATTAAGGATGGAAGTGAGGATATGAGGGAGGAGAGGAGCAACAAAAAGGTAATGCAACAGCGGACTACTGTAGGATCCAATGGAGCTGGAGAAATTTTGGGTTTGGGGGACTGTATGGCTAGGAAGATGGGGGAGTAGAAACTGGAATGCTTCACGTGCCACCATTCTCTCTCCTACACTCCATTTCAGCTCACTTGCCTTACTGCTGTTTCTCCAACACTTAAAGTTGGTTTCTGCCTCAGGGCCTTTGTACTTGTCATTCCCTTCACATCTTTTCATGGCTTGTTCTCTAACTCTACTCAGCTCTCTGCTCTAATGTCACATCCTCAGGGAGGTTTTGTCTGATCACCTAGATTGAAAAAAGTCTCTGTCCCCTGACTCTGTTTCATTTTTCTACATGACATTTATTGCTTCCTGGAATTATGCTATATTCATTCATAGGTTTATATTCGATGTCTCCCACTAGAATGTAAGCTCCATAAGGGTAGGAATATTGTCTTATGCACCATTTTATCTCTAACACATAATAATGGGCACTCAACAAATGTTTGCTGAGTGAATGGTGAATGAATGAACTTGCCCAAGGTCACTCAGCTAGTAAGTGATGGAGCCAAGATTCACACCCAGAAGTCTGACACTAGAGCTTTTGCTCTTATGTACTCAACGGCGTAAGGAGGAACTAGACAGAGGGGAACGGCTGTAGCTCTGAGGGAGATTTCAAAGTCTGAGATTTTGGTTGCTTTCCCATGATGGAGTTTGAGGGGAGGAAGGGAAAAAGTTATATTGGAAACTTTATTGGAAAAGGCAGAAAGTAGATGAAAAAAAATAATTTCCTGGCTAGGAAACTATCTAGAAGGACAAAAAAACAAATCAGTAACATTGTACAGGTCTGAGATTGGGGTATTGATCAAAGATCACTTAAGCATTACTTGAGATGTGTGTGTGTGTGAAAGTGAACGCATTAAGGGAGTGCTTTTGGAATTAAAATGCAAAAAAAATACCCACCTTTTTAAAAAAGGGGGAAAAAAGAAAACTGCAGACTACCTGGTGATGAAGGCAAAGGCTAAAACTTAAGTCACGTTTTCTGGAAGAGCAATGAGTTTAGAAGATTTAGCCATGCAAAGATTTTAAACCATCCATTTTCTGGGTTACTTGAATCTTCAGTGTCATTGGGAATGACTCAGAGCAGGGATGCTTGTGATGCAAAATTTACTCCTCAGTGTTATTTTCCATTTGAGAATTGGTTGGATCCATTTGAGTCAAACTGTGCTTTTGTAGACTTGGTTGCTTCTTTTGGAAGTGTTCTTTCAAATTAGGTTACAGAAACAAGAGCTGAATTACACAGACAGCTGCAGAAACAGATTTCTCCTTTCAAATGTAAGATGAAAAAGGGAATATTGAGAGTATTCCTTTAGTGCCAAAAGCGACCAACTTTCTTGGTAAAGTTGTTTCTCCACAGTCAGAAATTGGTGGTGGGGGGGAGGTGGCCACATGTTCTGAAGAGGCAGCCAGGCCCCTTTTAGGGCAGAAGCTGGGGTCATGCAGATGGATGTTTGCGTCCTGTTCTGTGCCTCATAGTTGGATGACTTTGGTCAAGGCGCTTTAACCCTGTTACTTCCTTCATTTGTAAAATCCATGTCCCTGAAACTCCCTCGTGGGGTTGCTGTGAGGGTTCATTGAAATGATGTGTGTGGTGTTACAGAATGACTTGCTTGAGAAATGGAAATTAATTATGTAAATTGCCTGCAGACTACTACTTGCTTTTGCGCACTCATGTTTTTGTTCTAGCTCTGTTGTTCATAGACAGTGTGACTACATAAGTTATCATCCAAACTGGGACCCTTCTGCGAATGAAAGAGTAGAGCAAACCAGAGTGGATTCTGAGCTCTTAGGAGTAGGTCAGGACTAATCCCAAGCAAACCTGGATGTATGGTCACCCTCCCAAAGACTAACTTCCGGTGAGGCAGGAGCCAGGAGAGAGCTGGCTGCTGTCATACCTCCTGCTGGAGAGATGACAAGAAGAAAGGGGAGAGGGGGGCCTTGCCTGTATTGGTAAGTTAGTTAGGAGCTAATGACCCAGTCTTTGGAAAATGTAAAGAATAGAAGAAGCTGGGGCGCCTGGGGGTCTCAGTCGGTTGAACATCTGCCTTTGGCTCAGGTCATAATCCCGGGGTCCTGGGATTGAGCCCCGCATTGGGCTCCCTGCTCAGTGAGGAGTCTGTTTCTCCTTCTCCCTCTGTCTGCTGCCCCCTCTGCTTGTGCTCCCTCTTCTCTGTCAAATAAATAAATAAAGTCTTAAAAAAGTAGAAGAAACCCTCTTTCCCTCCTCCCTTGCCACCTTATGATTCGGCAAAGGACTTCCCTCTGTTGGGCCCAGACTGGGCTGGAGATTAAAATAGCCAGCATGTGCCAAGACAGCATCAAACCCACAGGGTTAGGGTGAAGACCCCAGCATGGTTATAAGTAGGCCTTTTCTTGGGATCCAGACCACATTCATTTATGCTACTGTGTTTACTTCTCTGTTAATTGCTAGTGCAATAATGTCCAAATTTGCAGGAATTTAAGGCTAAACTGGCATTACTTTAAAACACCCATTTCCATACTGCCACTATAGACCTTCTGAATCCAAATCTCTTAACATTCTGTCTGTTTAAACTTGCCTCCTGGGGGCACCTGTGTGGCTCAGTTGATTAAGCATCTGCCTTCCGCTCAGGTCATGATCCTGGGGTCCTGGGGTGGAGCCCTGTGTCAGGCTCCCTGCTTGGTGGAGAGCCTGCTTCTCCCTCTCCTTTTGTCCTTCCTCATGCTCATGTTCTCTCTCTCTCTCTCAAATAAATAAATAAAATCTTTTAAAAAAATAATTAGCTAGCATCCTGGCCATGTAAAGTTAGAAGACATTGCCCTTGCCCTGAGAAAAGTCGTTTAAACTTTCTAGCTTTGATTTAGTTGTGCCATGGGATGTTAAGAAATGCCTTTCGTATGTAACATTGTATCAACTATACTTCAATTTTAAAAAATGCCTTTTGTTATCTCATGCTCGGGTCTCAGAAATGAAAGGAAGAAAGGATCCAAGGAGGTTTTGCTGAAGCAAAGATAATGAGGCCAAGATTCCCAGAAGAAAGATGAATGTCTGGGACAGGGTTTAGGGTTTGGTGGTCTCTGCTTCTGGCTCTACAGTCACCTGGGGGCTCTTTTTTGGTGTCAACCCTGGAGGAACTGAGCTTTATTTTTATTATAAAAGCAGTGATTCCCTGCCCTTATACTTTATCTATCACTCTTTGTCTTCTTTCTCCATCATGATTCCAGAAAGAATTGTTCATACTTCCTGTCTCCACTGCCTTCGTTCTCATTCACTCCTGATGATCTGGGCAACCCTGGGCAGGTTAATGAATGACTTCAAGCCTCAGTTTCCCCACCGTGACTTGTAAATAAGGTCATGCCAGAAAAGCATCGAACATAGTCCCTGGCAGGTAGCAAACGTGAGCTCTTAATTCCTTCACTTCCTTTACCTACTTCTGCGCCCAGGACAGAGATTAATTTCCTCCTCCTAAAATTGTTAGTGACCTCATTGAAAGATTCAATGGTTCCCTTTACTTCTTTGTCAATATTCAAGACTATACTCAGTTCTTGAAATTCTTATTCTTTTCTCATATTTATGCCACTTCTCCCAGTGTTTGTCCCCTGGTTCTTTTTCTTTTACATATACCTTACATGTAGGTATATTGATGGAATTATACAGTTATCAAAAAGTATCCTGTGAAGACTGTGGAAAGATGCAGGAATGATTACTTTAACATCCTAAGTAGAAATAGTGCCATAGAAAATGCTACATGTTAAAAATAGGTAAGGAGCTTTTGGTCTTAAGAAGGCATTATGACGGCATTATGTGATCCAAAGATAACAGAGCCTTACCCAAGCCACAGCCACAGCCAAGATCCCCCAAGGGCAGTAGGCATGTAGGGAACACTAGCAGATGAGAATTAAAGTGCCATTTGCTGGGCCTGAGCACCCCTGTGGGCTTCAGGCCTGAAGACTGCCTCTATCTTCCACGCATACATAGACTCTTACCTGCAGGAGCATATCAGAGAGAGGTGCCAGGTCCTCTGTCTGAGAGGGAAGAGATCTGGTTTCAGCAGTGAACAAAGGGGCTGCAAAAGAGAAAAGAGATTCTTGGCTGTGCTGGGGCAGGCTCATAGGAGCTTGAGAGAGCAGATTCTGATCATCTCTTTCCAATTCCGCGTTTAGCGAACTTCAGGTTGAAATTAGCCCTGGCAAGAATATTTACATCGTGGAAGTTGGTAGACACTACAAAGTGTGGCTTCCCACCCCCCACCTTTGCTCAAAACTGAATGTTAACTATTTATCAGCACACCACCAGGAGAGGGCAGAAAACATGCAACACTCCCTTACTCTGAGTTGGCTTTGGTTATAAAATGCACCGTTCCGTTTCATTGTGGGGAGAGCATTAGGTCAATGTCTGAGTTCACATCTGCAATAACAAAGATGACAATGACAACCTATTGAGCACGTCTAGGTACTGTGCTTCACTGTACCAAGCACGTCCCATGCATAACCTTAATTTATTCTCAAGTCACTTTATGAAATAGGAACTGTTGTTACCTCTGTTTTACATATGAGGAAACTGAGGGTCAGAGTGACTAAGTAATTTGTCTGATGTTATACTGTTGGTGAATAGAAGATTCTGGATTCCAGTCCAGGCAAGGTAGAGAGGATGACAAAGTTCCCTCCCCAACTAGCACTTGACAGTATGTGTTACTACGATAGAATATTTATATTTAAAAAAGTGCATCCTTTTGTGTATTGTGATACAATGTTTACATAGGTTTTTAGATGTGCAAAATAATACTATTTATTTTCACAGATATTCACATATGTAGTAAAGGTGTAAAAACATACATGGAGATAATGTGGGTACATAGCTATTTTTTATATAACTTTTTTGTACATTTAAACTATTTTATAATAAAAATTTCATATATTTCTATATAAGGTAATCAGGCTGCTTTTAGAGTGATATGGGTAGTTCTAATCATTTATTTAAAATTTTTAATGTGGGGCACCTGGGTGGCTCAGTTGGTTAGGCGTCTGCCATCAGCCATCAGCTCAGGTCACGATCTTGGGATCCTGGGATTGAGCCCCACATCCAGCTCCCTGCTCAGCGGGGAGCCTGCTTCTCCCTCTCCATCTGCCTCTCCCCACTGCTCACGCTCTCTCTCTCGCTCTCAAATTAATAAATAAAATCTGAAAATAAAATAAAATAAAATAAAATTTTTAATGTTAAAAATTGTCTTTTAGAAATGAGTGCATGCAAAATCTGGTAAAAGTGAATAATGTCTGTAGTCAGCAGTGTTGTGCCAATATCAATGTCTTGGTTTTGAGAATGTCTTGCAGTTATGTAAGATGTCATCATTGAGAGAACTGAGTGACACAATAGATCATTATTGTTATTTTTAAATGAATTAATTTATTTACTGTTTGCAAAAAGTTTGAGAATCTCTGTTTTAATGGAGGTCTCCTCTGCCCCTCAGGTACTGTTAGATGTTTTCCCTGTGTTCCCACCCCTCCTCCACAGCACTTACCACTTTGTAGGTTATGTTTATAAAGGACATTTACTTAAAATGCTATTCTTCTTTTCCAGGAAATTTTGACAGGCCTCCAAACTTTTTCCACACTTAAAAATTGAGATATGATTCATATACCATAATAATTCTCCCTTTTAAAGTATTAAAATTCAGTGGGTTTTAGTATATTCACAAGGTTGTGTGCAACCGTCACCACTATCTAATTCCAGAATTATTTCATCATCCCCCAAAAGAAACCCTGTGCTCATTAGCAGTCACTCATCATTCTTCCTTCTCCCCAGGCCCTGGCAATCACTAATCAGCCTTATTTATATTATTTTGCTTGTTCTGGACAATTCATCTGAATGGACGCCTACAATAGGTGGCCTTTTTGACAAACTCCTTTCACTTTTAGCATAATGTAACCAAGTTTCATCCATATTGTAGCATGAATCAGTATCATCCTTTATAGGCTGAATAATATTCCATTGGATAGCTATACCACATTCTGCTTATCCATCCATCAGTTCACAGGCATGTGGGTTATTTCCATTTTTGACGGGGGGCTATTCTACATAATGCTGCTATGAACATTCATGTATATGTTATTGTTTGTACATATGCTTTCAATTCTCTTAGGAATATATCTAGGAGTAGATATGCTGGATCATACAGTAACTCTATTTAATTTCTAGAGGAACGGACAATTTTTTTTCCAAAGCATAGGCCAACAGCTCTTAAAATAACTTTTTTTATGACTGTAAAGATAATACATTATATAACCATTAGAGAAACTGAAAAATCCAGGGAAGAATCAGGACAAAATAAAAGTCATTCCCACTTTTTACTACTTATGGATAACAATTGTTAACATTGTGATCACTTTTTACTATGTGTACACACACACACAATCTGCATTATGCTATATATACCTTTTGAAATTTGCTTTTCTTCACTTATAAAAGATATACATTTTTTGAGTTGTTAAATGGTCTTCTAAAACATGATTGAAAAATGCCTTCATGTTATTATTTTGCATGAATGTACCGGGATTCATTTAATTCATATCCTTTTGATGGATAATAACAATATTTCTAATTTTCCTGATAGCTACTGTAACAAATATTCTTGGCATATAAATTGCAGTGTTTATGATTACTTTCCTAGGATAAATTCCTAGAAATTGAATTAAGTATATGTAATTTTTGAATGTTTTTTATACAGATTACCAGGTTGTATTCATCTATGTTGGTTTCCAGCTGCAAACTGGTTTCCAGCTGCAAACTGGTTTCCAGTATCTCCCTCACTGCGGGCCTACTTGTCATTATGTTTTAAACCTCTGCTAATTTAATGAACTAAAAAGGGCTGTATCAATGCTTGCTTGGTATTTCTTTGATTATCATTGAGAATGAAATTTTTTTTCTCATGCTTATTGATCATTTGTATTTCCTTTTTTAATATCCTGCTTTTCATGTATTTGGCCTGTTTTTCTCTGTGTTTCCTTGTTATTCAGTTGGAAGAGTTTGTTCTAATTGAGTGCATTTTTCTTTTACAAATTTTTCTCTTCTTTACAAAAGTAATAGATGCTCAATGTAAAAATATAAAAGAATTGTAATAATATAAAACATAAGCACTGAAAATCTCCAAATTTTATCCTCTCAAACTGATAATGTGGTGTATATTCCTCCAAAAGGTTTTTTTCTATCCATATTCTACCAATTACATTTCTTTTCAAAATTGGAATCATAGTAAACCTATTGCATTTAACTTATTTTTCACTTGCTATATCTTCTACATACCCCATTGTCAAACATACAGCTTTATCTTCTTTTTAAAAATTATTTTATTTTTTAAGGATTTTATTTATTATTTGAGAGAGAGCCCGCACATGTACTTGCTCCCTGTGCACAAACAGGGAGAGCAGCAGAGGGAGAAGCAGACTCCCCACTGAGCAGGAAGCCCGATGCAGGACTCGATCCCAGGACCCTGGGATCATGACCTGAGCCAAAGGCAGACACTTAATCGACTGAGCCACCCAGGTGCCCCCAGCTTATCTTTTTAATAGTTGTGTGCTGTCATGACTATACTGTGTTTGAAATGAATAGTTTTACATTTTTATTGAGTTATATCTTTAAGTCTTTTTTATGGTAGATTGCTTAACTTTTATGCATAGAAAGAAGGTTCTCAATTTTTATGGGAATTCTCTGGACTGTTCAAGAAATTATTCTCATTTTCAGAGACAAGCTATGCTGTGAAAGAGTGAAGACTGTTGACACATCTTGTAAACTGTAGGAGTCTGAAAGACTGCTTTGCAAATGAAGGGGGGAAAGATACTGTTTTGATCAAATAAAATGTATTAAAGTTCCTATTTTAAGTCAATAAGATCAGAGTACATTACCTTTTTGGCTGGTCTCAACAGCTGATTTCTAGAAGGTTGAAATGCATCAGTAGTCTTTGAAAGAGAATTCTTCCCTGAAACATTCATAAAAAAAAAATTAAAAAAAAAAAAAAAGAATGGGATGATTCAGAGGGATCTGTCCCTGGCCTGGAACATTTTGGAAAGCTAACCTGGGATGTGTCAGCTGTGCAGCAGTTGGGGGTGGGAATGTGGGGTTTGGTGGCAGGGAGAGCATGCATTAGGGAGAGAAGGAACTACAGGGGTAGGAACCCTGAAGCTAGAAGGAGCTCAAGCCTTGGGTAACACAAGGGCTAACTCAACTGCCCACAGAGAAGAGAGGCTATGCGAGAGGAAGAAGCATGCCTCCGCTGAAGTATTTAAATTCAAACAGTTTTCATCATCTAAAAATGGTATGACGGGGCCGGGGGGGGGGGGGAGGAGTCGGGGGACCCTGGTTGGCTCAGTTGGTAGAGCATGCGACTCTTGATTGCGGGGTTGTAAGTTTGAGCCCCACGCTGGGTGTAGAGATTACTTAAAAATAAAATCCTTAAAAAAGAGATAAAAATAAATGGTATGACTACAAGCTATCAGTTTGTGATCCCTGATTTACAGGGAATGTGAGATCACTAAACAGTGACTGAAGTCCTGAAAGTGTCCTGAAATGGCGGCGTGTTCAAAGAATTCCAGAATTTGAGAAGAGGATGACCCAGAAAGTGTTCCTGAGTTGGGAAAAGAAAAGCTAGGAGTGAGCAAGACCTTACTAAAGGCCAGGAAAAGAAGGCCTTTTAAGGAGGATGCAGTGAGTGCTGCTAAGAGATCAAGGAAAATGAGGAACTGAAATAGTGACCTCCACAAGACGCCTAAACTTTGCTGATATTGTATAATAAGTCTCATGCATCTTCTGAATTGTCTGTGTCTTTTGCCTGACTGGGAGGGGGTGTGGCTGAGTTAGATCCAGCACAAGCTCCTAGAGACCCGGCTTCATTCCAGCAGCAATCAGCATGGCATAATAAACAAGACCACTATAAGAAAAACACATTTTTGACAAGGTATTTATTACCAAATGCTTTAAAATCAGAGAGACTCAAGTGGGCTCACATCAAAAACCATGAAGCATGTATTTCTTGTGCAATGCTGTAAAGATAGGTATCTAATAAATCTTGGCCTTCAGAACCAAAGCTCTATGAAATGTACTATTGCCTTTATTTAACATAGACTGTTGAAGGTACAGGAATCTACCAGCTACTGAAAACTGCAGAACCCTACCCCTGGTGTATCTTTATTTGTGGAAGATATATTCTAAAAAATGTGCCATAGAACAGGATGAAAGTCATTTTCTAAATTGAAATTATAAAACTTTATTATCAAAACTGACATTTTTCAAGATAAAAACAGAGCACATTAATGATTAATGAACTCAACAGAAAGATTCCAAAATAAAGTTTCTACAAATTTAATTCTCTTAAACAACTGTAAATATATAGTATATATAGCTTTACTTGAATTAAAAATTCTCAAGGCCCTCACAAAGTTACTCTTCATCAAGAATAAAATTCTACATATATGGGAATTAAATTCAGAAAAAATTTAGTTAGCATATTGAATGTAATTAAACATTGTTAAAATATCAAAACAGAGCAGTACATTTCAGAGTATATATGTGTAATGATTTTTAAGGCTCTAGTGAGACACACTCTAAAATGTAGCTAAGCAATGTATTAATGTATTAGTCACACAATGTAGTTAAGATTATAGAAAAATAAATTATATATATGATTGATATATAAATCTATATACATAAATATATGTAATTTCCTCTTATTGGATTTTAGGAAAATATGTGTCATAGTTAATTCTTTCTATATTGTATTTTATTTACAAGTTAAGAACTTTATAAATAATTATTTGGTATTAAATGGTTCAGAAGACTTACTCATATATGCTGTACTTTTATATACATTATTGCATTTTTAAAAATCTATAATTTTCAACAACAAACCTCAGAAGTAAATATAAAGGAAATTTCTTCTCCCTTAAATCTCGGATCCTGTAATCAGATTAATCTTCCTAAAATTATTTCATCTTATTAGTGCCACAAAAATAATTATTCAGTGGCTCCCATTTTCTACAGAATGAAGTTGAACTCTTTATTCTGATATTCAAAATATTCCATGCTTCAGCCTCAAACTTTATTTTCAAACCAGGCCATGCTCTTCACTATCAGCAAAGCTCATTCCAACTCTGAACTGTCTCACTTCCAATGCTCCCCTTTCTCATCTTCAAATCCTATGGCTTTCTTTCTTTCTTTTCTTCCTTCCTTCCTTCCTTCCTTCCTTCCTTCCTTCCTTCCTTCCTCCCTCCCTCCCTCCCTTCTTTCTTCTTCTCTTTTTCTTTCTTTCTTTCTCTCTCTCTCTCTCTCTCTCTCTCTCTCTCTCTCTTTCTTTCTTTCTTTCTTTCTTTCTTTCGTAGGCTTCACACTCAACGTGGGGCTTGAACTCCCAACCCTGAGATCAAGAGTCCCATGCTCTACTGACTGAGCCAGCCAGGTGCCCCAAACCCTATGCCTTTGACTCCCAACTCCCCTGTGTAAATTCCCCTAATGTTTCTGATGCCTTCCTCTAATCTGGTCTTTAACACTCATGTTGGCTTTTAAATAGCCATGCTCATGTACAGTTACCAAACTAGTTTCTGTTTTTAAGACTTGTCTCTTCAACTAAATGGGAAATTCCTTGATTAGTGCCTTTGGTGCCTAGCACAATCCTGAGTATATAATTATAAGCACATGCTAGTATCATCTTAATCACCTCTGACATTTTACTTTATTCTTAACAATTTTTCTTTCCAACTACAGAAACAGCACAACTAAAGGCCAAGTTTACTCTTGCTGTAGTGTCTCTCGTTCTCTCCAGAAGCCAACTGACTTTGCTCTTTGCTCCCATTATTAATGCATGAACTTTACTGTGCAACTAAAATACATGGAATCTGGAATTTTCTTCAAACCACGGGCTAATACCTTTAATTTCATCAAGTCTTAGATAAGTTTCTGTCTTTTGCGATAAATGTATATTTACAGATAGATTTTTTCCCCTTTTAATGGAATATTTTGAATGTTCAATCAATTTCTCTGAAATTATAGAGCTTTAAAATAACTGCCGGTTTCCTTCCATTGAGTGTGATGTTTTTTCCTTTTTTCTCTACTTTCCCTAACTGAGCAAAGGGAAGGGGGTATAGAAGTGGTAGGATATATGCTTTTTAAAAGGCCACCCTGGGCTGGGTATAGAAAAGCATGAATTATGGTCCTAGCTTCCTCTACTGCATAGGCAGCTTTGCTCTGCTTAAGACTGTTAGGCTTGAGGTTGAAATCTACAAATCCAAGGCAGCTGTAATCCCAAACCAGCATGGTTCTCTTCCTCCATATAATTATAGCACCCATTTATTAGTCACCTCCTATATGGCAGACACGGTATTGGTTGCTTTATATATCATCTAATTATCATAATCAAGTGAATCATGATTCCCATTTTACAGAAGACAAAAGGCTTACAGAGGCTTAGAGATGTTAAGTAAATTTGAACAACTAGTAAGTGGCACAGCTAGAGTTTGGATGCAGAACTGATTCTAAAGCCTCTGCTCTTTTCACTACACCTTGCAATGTCAGTGCCTTGTATTGCCAGGAATTCTGTTTTGGGAATGTTGGGGCTTGTACTGATACCCTTGGCAGCTATTGGGAAGGGCAGAATAATAATAAAATGTTTCAGTGTATTTGAGGAGGCTCACCAACAGTCCTCTCCTGCACACACTTACTCCAGTCTTCGTTTATTAGGTGTTCCCCACTCTGACCATTTACATTACAGTTTACGCCAAATTTGGCACTGTCCCTTTTGTTATGGAACATATGATCACATGTCTTGGTAGGTGGAAGGAGAGCTGGCAGTTTTTATGTTTGTCAAGGCTCAAGACAAAAACAACAGAATGAAATCAACACAACAATAAGTATATACATATATTTCATATGTATATTAGAAATTCTCCCTGTAATAATAGATCGCAAAGACAAAGTTAAATAAGACTATATAGTCTTATTCTGACATATGAATTCCAACCTTCAGCTGTTAGTTTACTTATTTGAAGAACAGTCAATAGAAGGAAATTCCAGTGTGACAAGAATTTTGACAATCCCTCAGTATTATCTCTAATGGGATCTAGTTACATTGTGATCTTCCAGGAAGGATGTAGCTGTGTATGTATGTTTTAATCTGGCAGTTACTCTTATTCTAGTCATACTGTATGTGGCGATTCCCATTGCTGTTTTATTAGGACCATGGGAGGAGAGAGGCTATTCTTCCCCCATTTTTCTATACTTGAGAGTTTACTGCGTAATGTTCTCTTAGTAATTTAAGAGTCTAAAGATTTCTATGCTGATTTAACCAATGTTTTACATTTAGTTGGGCAGAAGTTTATTAATAAGTATTTGCCACCAAACAGATCTAACTGTATAAATATGTATTATATAATTATATTAAGGATAATTTGTGTTTGAGTCAATAAACTTTCACTCTTGTATCATTTTAATATTAGGTATTTAAAATGCTTTTATAAATCAGATTTTTTTGGTGTGTTTAAAAAAATAACACTAACTTAGTAGGAGACTAGGGTGCAGTTTTCAATGGCATTGACAGTTATGGTGCTATAGAAAGAAACTATACCTGGAATCTAACTTTATTATAGAGTCTTGGCTCTGCCTCTTGATTTTTATCTTGGAGAAATCACTTCATCCACTTACTCATCTACAGGATGAGAATCATAATTTCCATCCCCCAATGTTTTTTTATGAAGACGATATGGCACATAGGAGCTGTTCTCTAGAGGCAAAATTGGGTTTAAGGGACAGGGGCATGGCAAGGAACTAGACATCTCAGAAGGGAGAGGGGAGGGGCTCTTTATGGAGTTTGAACTAAGCATTATTAGTCACAGAGCCCAAGTGCTATGTATGGTAGGCCTAGAATACCTCTCCCTGAAATTCTACTTCCAAAGACCAGACTTCCCTACTGGGGGTGAACTCAACCCCAGGGCATATTTTGTGATTTTTGTCCTTGTTGCCCTTCCCCCCAAGATTGTAAATTTTGGAGAAGCCATTCTTTCACCTTTGTATCCTCTGGGAACCAAACAGATCATTAGTATAAGTGCTTGATGTGTTTGATATTAGACAAAGTCCCTATACAGAATAGGGAATCCGGTTAGCAACTGGATAACCATTATCAGTATTTAAGTTAAAGCCAATTTTAAGTTCTTCCTTCTCTCCAAAGGAAAGAACAGTGGTGTTTTTCCTAAAAGAAAATCTTAAATTGAATCGGGTCGCTAGTGTTCAGCCTAAAGCCGGCAAAGAAATAGGTGCAAGGTTGGGGAGGACGATAATTAACCATATTTCGGTTGTGCTCTGGCTCAGGAGGAGCCCTGGCGCTGGTCCCAACAGTAATGCCCGTCCCACCCAACCCGAATGTGGGGTGCAAGGCAGACAGTTGTCTCCGTCCCTCCAAGCCACTGTGGCTGGGTTTCTGGTCTTGAGAGATGCAGATGAAGTGGTGTGAAGGGTTGGGCTTTTTTTTTTGTTCCTAAAAATGCAACGAACAAAAAAAAAAGTACAACAATCCAAACCCAACCATCTTGTTGCGCGCCAGCTTTCTTCCCGGGTGGCTCCACCGGGGACGGCGCCGCCTCCTGTCGCCCGCGCTCCGTCAGGCCCAGCCCACGAGTCTTAGCGAGCCGTCAGCCTGCCAGCGCCCAGGCTCGGCGGGCTCTGGGCACCGTGCTCCGCGCCGCGCGCAGCCCCTCTGGAAGGGAGAGAAGCGAGCAGCCCGGGACCCTCCCCTCTTCCAGGCGCACCGCAGGCGGTGGCAGTTATTGGTGGCGGTTGTTGACACCGGAAGGACTCCCGCCTCACCTCACCCACCGCCCCCCACCCCCACCCCCACCCCCACCCTGGGAAAGACGAGACTCGGGAGACAGAACAAAGGCGAAGCCCGGCCGAGGAGGCGGACCGAGGTGCCGGGAGAGGAGGGCGGTGGGGCGGGGCACGGCGGGCGCCGCGAGTCCATTTTGCTGCGGTGCCCAGCCGGTAACGCGCGGTCCCCGCTGCTGGAGGACAGGCAGCTGCGCGGCTCCAGGTGGGGCCCCTCCCACGACCCCCCAAGGTCCGAGATAAGTACCCGCCGGGTCCCTCTCGAGGGGGGGGGTGATTCTTGGGCCGGCAGCGAGGGTGGGGACTTGCCCTGGCAGAACAGCGACCTGCGTGGGTGGGGGGCTGGCGGAGAGCTCACTTTGAGCTCCACAGCTGCAGAGCGGAAACCAGCTGGGCGCTGGAACAGGGCTTGGGGTGGAGTGGCGTGCAGGGGGCGTCCGCTGGGCCCGCAGCGTGTCTGTGTTCCAGAAAACCTGCTCCGCTACGGATTATGACCGGCTTCACTGCCGGCGCCTCAGTATCGCCTAGGAAAGAAAAGGCGACCATGAGTCACAAGTCCGAGCACTCAGCACTTTCTGGCACTGAACCTGGGGAGGTGCCTGGCGCCGAGGGAGGGCGCCCTAACCGGGAAGCTCCTTAGTACTGCAAAAAGATTTCCAGCCATGCTCCTGGCTTTTTCACCAGGTCCTAGCACGCTGGCTTTATTTGTGGGGGACGACTGAAAAAATTAAGAGTCAAGACTAAGAGTCCTGTGCAAATAAATGCATAATACTCTCTTCTTTGTTCTTTCTTTGCAGTAGCCTCGTTTGATTGTCAATCACAACGTGAGAAAAAAACAAAAACCTGATTGCTTTGTCCTGGGAAATAGTAACCCTGACGAATACACCTGCTCGCAGGGGACAGAGGTAAACTACAATACTTCTCCCTACATTAAGAAACCAAAAAAGCACCCAGTTTTTTTTTTTTTTTTTTTTTTAAGCCCAGAATCACGCAAAATTGAACTAGGTGCAGAATGTGTTCTCATCCTCATGGGCAGTCTCTGTTCTTTTCATATTTTTTCAAAACTCAGGAGAATAGATTCAGTATTTGGAAAATCTTTATGTAGCAGTTATTCGACATGTACTGCAGTCCACAGATTTATAATGAAAAGGAAAAGAGAGGCCTTAGTAGCATTTATTTTTTTTTTAAGATTTTTTTTTTCCTTCTCCCATACTGTGCTGCTAGGACTTGTACAAATACTGAGTTTTCTAACTCTAGAGACTTTTATACAATAGGTATTTTAAAAGCAGAATTTCATTTACATAGCCACTCCTTCTGGTAGAACTTGATGGAGCTGTTGATTAACTGGTTATACTTCTGTCTTCCACAATGAGAAGGTACATTTCTTCAGGCTCTCCTTTTCTTAAAAATACTATCTTTTTTTGCACTAGCTGAGATACTAAGCTTCCCTGGTAAGTCCTTCCATAACACCAGGTTATTCTTTCCATTCTATACACTTATGACTGGCTGGTTACCTGGTCTTACTTGTACCATAGCTACTGTTCAGATATGCCCGTTTCCATGAAAGTGCTTTGTACCTGCTATCCTATATAATGCTTTACCTTTTCAAGAAATTGTAGTTCAAGAGAGTCTGGCTCTTTCAGGACCTTTCTTGGTTAATATACTCATGCTCTAAAATAACACTTTAAATGTGAATTTACATTTTGTGTATTTGTACCCAACTGTAATTATCCACTTTACCTTTATATAGTTTAGCAATTTACAAAACTGGCACTCATTACTTAATATTCCCAGAAACATGATGAGGTAGATAATGTAAACATCCTCATTCTATGAAGGCTAAAACTCTTTGCTTGACGTTAGGTATTCAGAGACAGGTTCAGTGCTGTGTTTCGTCTACTAGAGAGCCTGTTATAGCCTAATTTGTAAAAATCATAAAATTTTAGAAGGGATTTAGAGAGCCATGATTAAACTTTTCCATTTTATGAATGAGAACACTGAATTCTTGATCCACTTTCTGGATAGTGCTAAAAGTCTAAGAATTGGGGAACTCAGGTCCTAAGCCTAGCTTGCTTTGTATAATTGAGAAAGCTCCATTTTTGGAGGGGGGGGGCTCAGTTTTTTCAATTATAAAGTTAGGTGTTTTCTAGATGGTCTCTAAGATACTTTTAGACCGAGTGCTTCTTTTTTTAATTTTTTAAATTTTATTTTATCATGTTATGTTAGTCACCATACATTACATCATTAGTTTTTGATGTAGTGTTCCATGATTCCTTGTTTGTATATAACACCCAGTGCTCCATTCAATACATGCCCTCCTTAATACCCATCACTGCGCTAACCCATCCCCCCTGCCCCGAACCCTCTGTTTCTCAGAGTCCATAGTCTCTCATGGTTTTTCTCTACCTTCGATTCCCCTCCTTCATTTTTCCCTTCCTACTATCTTTTTTTTAAACATATAATGTATTATTTGTTTCAGAGGTACATAGACCTAGTACTTCTATTTTATTCCTACTCCAAAACTTTTATTACCATATAGTCCCTTATACATATTGGTAATCCTAAACACATATTAATATTAACTGCCTTAAACTGTTTTATATTTTAAATTTGGGTAGGTATGGTAAAAATGTCTGCCTTATTCTTGGTGTTTTACTAAACTATAAAAGTATGGTTCTATTGTAAGATCAGGAACTGCATGGAGAAGTGGGGCACTCATACATCATTGGTTAGAGTTCATAAATTGGTACACCCCTTCTAGAGGGAAACCTGACAATCTTTTCAAGGTCTTTAAAAGTGTTTCTACTCATTGACACACCTAACAGTACACTTACAGGAATCATCTAAGGAAATAATCAGAGCGATGGACCAAGACTTTTCTACAAGATGTTCATTTAAATGTTATAATCCAAAAAGACATATAGCCAATAAGAGCATATCCATAAGATGGACTATCACATTTTAGAAGAATATGTAATAATAGGGGAAATACATGTGATAAAGTAAGTGAAAAATGGTGGATACAAAATTGTGTGAAGCTACCAGTTTTGTTAAAATAGGTATGTGCACAAACACAGGACACACAAGATTGGAAGAAATAAAACAATAATAATGGTTATTCCTTGCTGATGTGATTATGGGTGATTTTTCCCCTGTACTTTCTGAATTTTCTATACTCACAAATTACTTTTATAGTTGGTTGCTTGGATAACCTCTCTAACTTCAGTATGGTGTCCACTTTCTATGTCCTTTTTTTATAAGGCATTTATCATACCTTTTAGAGGAACAATATCTTTGTAAATGTGCTGTATTTCTGAATTTAGGGTAGGAATTGACTTTTGGCTTATATTTCATCTTTTTAAATATCATTAGGTCATTGGATTATTCATTCTTATTATTCATTAAAGACACTGCCATCTTCATTACCTTGGCCTTGAACTCTGGATACTAGAATGGTACTGATGAATAGACTGCTATACCCACTTCTCATAACAATTAACCCAAATACAGGTGTCCTCTGACATACAAAATAGTTTTAGTCCCATTAAGCCTTCTATAAGGCTTAAAGCAATTCTATAAAGCAATTTCCTATAAACTTTTTAAAAAAATCATTTCCAGGGCGCCTGGGTGGCTCAGTTGGTTAAGCATCTGCCTTCGGCTCAGGTCATGATCCCAGGGTCCTGGGATCAAGCCCTGCATCGGGCTCCCTGCTTGGCGGGGAGTCTGCTTCTCCCTCTCCCCCTGCTTGTGTTCCCTCTCTCGCTATCTCTCTCTCTGTCAAATAAATAAAATCTTATTAAAAAAATAAAAAATCATTTTCATTATATATGGAGACATATTACTAAGGAAAAGTTGAACTGAAAATTTTGGTTGACAGTTTAAATTACTGTCTTTCGTGTGGCATTCGTGCCACAAGTATATTCTACGGCAATAGCCAGGTTCCCTATTATAACTCCATGAGGAGCTTTTTTATTCCCCCTGCATATTTGTGGTATTGAATATGAGCGAGGAGTGCCAACATAGTATGTATAATATAGCCAACCTAAAAATTGCTCAAAGTTTAGCATAATTGGCCTTCTACTTGATATAGCCTATAGCTCACGTTTACTTTAGAATAAGATGTATACATAATTCTGTACTGAGCAAAAGGACCTTTGTTATACTAATTATATTTCCAATAGGCATCTCAGAAGTAAGTTATTAGTTGATATGTAGTGCTTATCATTTATTTACAAAATGCCTATTTTCCCTTCTACAGTATTATATATGACATAAGTAACCTCACTTATCTAGATAAATCCAGCTAGCTGCCTACCAAATGCTAGACTTTGACAGTACTTTCTGAAAGCTGGCATTAACCTGAAATACAGATTTAGATGATGATGGAAACTTTTTAATAGATACCAACCAATAGTGATTGCCAAATTTATGGTTGTAAAAGAAGACAAATTGTTTTAGCGGTAAAAATTTTCCAGCTTCATGAAACCCACTTATATTTATTTGGGAGAAAAGAGACCAGACATTTCTGGTTTGACCTTTCCAGAAGTCATTAGTTCCAACTTAACTAAATTGGAACTCTTAACAGGTAAAGATAAATATCTGAATCTGGTTGATACCAGAGTAGGAGAATAATTTAGTCTATACGTATGTTTTCCTCAAATTCAGACTCATTCAAATAGATTTCATCTGGGTGGGAGAGAATAGGCTTCAATACTATTTGGAAATCACACAGACTTCTGTGGGGGTTTTTTGTTGCTAAATTAAAATTTTTTTTTTAAGTAATCTCTACATCCAACATGGGGCTTGAACTTATGACCCTGAGATCAAGAGTTGCATGCTCTACCGACTGAGCCAGCCAGGCATCCTCCCACAGATTTCTTGATAGTTGTACAGAAGTGGGATAGTGGGATATCTGATCGAGCTGGTATCCTAAAACCCTATTGATATAATGCTGTTACAAAGTAATAGCTGGGGCAGTTATCAAGAGACACAAGGAAAAGATAAAACGGAAAGAAAGATAAGGTGAACAGGCAGGTAGGGGATAAGGGAAGAATAGGAGGAAATCAAAAGATTGTACACCTTGACATGGGGAGTATGATGAGTTAAGAGAATAAAACAAAGGAAAGAGGCAAGACAAAATAGTGGTTCAGAAAAGAGAATGAAGAAAAGGAAAAAACCTGTTTTTTTGAGTGGTCTGGACTAACTAGTAAGGATAATGACCTGGCTTTTACGTTTCTGAGAATGTTACCATAGTCCAAAATCTCTGAAATTGCTGAATAGGTGGGTCTTCCAAGCTGACGGAACTTTTGTTCTAGCTTTATTTTGTCCTACTTATCAGGAATCCTACTAGAAATATCCTGGGGAAATTTTAACTACTAATTCTAAGATATGCCAGAAAACAGAAGTTTCTTATTGTCTTACACTGACACATAAGTAACTTTTATATTGTGTTTGCAGGAGCCGCATAACAATTACACAAGCTATTTTAGACACTATATGTATCTTCCATAGTCCTTTTTTGAGA